GGCATCCATGAAGGTAAATTTCTCGCGTGTGACAAAAGTATAAAACTGGGAATATGACCCAAAGAGAGGTGATGACACAGCTGGTGATGCCACAGCTGGTGGTGACCCTGGCGACGTACCCCCCCCCCCCCCCCAAGAAAACCTGGTCCTACACGCTGGACTGTACACGCCCTCGGCACGCCAGCCCTCCTCGCCGCCGGAGAGGCCCTTGGCGGAGGGTCGCGGCGGAGGGCAGGGAAGCGGGAGACGACTGCCCGGCTGGCCTCGGCGCCCCTGGACAGCGGGGCCGGGGCGCGGACCACGCTGCTGGGCGCGTCCGACCGCCCTGGCTGGCCGAGCGCGCGCCGAGGTCAGCCAGGCAGTACACAGGGGTTCCTCTAATAGTAGTGAGGTAATAAATTGATAATATTTCTTTTTTTTTGTAAAATAAGTCTTCGTTTTGCGGTAGTAGAAGACGCGGTTTGGGGTCTTGCGATCCTCCATTCTCCACCTGACCTCTTTCCGTATCTATCGACACAAACATTCACATCTACTCACTATAAAAGGCATGTTTTACAAACACTTTTTATTTTTTTCTCACTGCATCACTTCATTTCCACGCCCTTGGCATCTTTATTTCCGCGACACTTTTTTTTTTGGCACTGTCTCTATCAGGCGTGTCAGTCAATCGCCAGTCATTTGTTTTCTTTGCAAGCAGAAGCCGTGAGAAGATCCGTCCGGGTTAGAGATACGACCTTCACTTCCATAAATAAGAATTTTTATACAACGAGCATTTCGTGGGAGCAAAGGTAACAGGTACTTCACTGGACACTGTCAACACATACTGACCTTCTGAACGATAAAAAAACAACTGTGATCCTTGCCTTCGTTTGCGATATTGTCAAAAAAAAAAAAAAAAAAAACTATATATAAAAATGCACAGGGAATACTTCGGCTTCCCAAGACAAAAATATTTGAGGTAAGAAAACACAAGTATGTCTTGCTCTCGTGCACCTGACTTCTTTTGTTCTCGATGAAAGGGGGAAAGGAGAAAATGAGTAATGTAAGGGAAGAAAAGTTTCGATTCATAATACTGGTACATACTGTTTGCGCCTCCTTGTCGCGTACGAGACACAGCAGTCTAATTGGCAGTTTACAAAAGGGGTGTGGTGGGGGGGGGGGTTGGGGGTATGGTGCCCGCCTTAGGTTGCAAAGTCTTACGATTTTAAACTTGGGAGAATTTTCCTGAATGCACTACCATTAGGAAGAAAGAAATATAAAAGGGGGATTTCCGTTATACAGGGGAATTCGTCTTACAATTTAACCTCACGCTAAGAACGTGATTTACATAAGCATCTAGCTTGGACTATTCTATATATTTTCACTATCTAAAAAATGGCGTAACCGACATATTTTTTGTCTGTTTCCTTTCCTTGTTTACACTCTGAGAATGACAGGAGGATCCTCTAAATGAAATATAAAGTAATTCGCGTTTTTTTTTCATTTTTTTTCCAGGAAGCATTTGTAACTCCAAGAGGAAAAAAAAAATAATAATTGGAGGGACAAAGAGGTAGATAAAGGTTTGAGAGAGTGGGAGGGGGTGGGGGTGGGGGTGGGGGGGGTTCTAAGACATCCCGGAAGGCACCAATGTTTGTCTCAGATAAAGTTTCTCAATTGCAGCTTTCTTGCAGGAGGATGGGAGGGAATAGGAGGGGGGCGGGGGCGGGGGGGGTGGGTGGGTGGGTTAGACGTCTTGAAATCTCTGTGAGGAATCTGTGGACGCCCTGAGGTGAAGGTGTACTGGCAACTGTAGGTGGAGCTTTTGTTGTAGGTCTGTACAACTCGTAGGTTTTTTTTTCTTCATTTTCTTCCTTGAACCTTGGGACGGAACGGACGGGGGGGGGGGGGGGGGTTGAAGGGGGGGGGCGGAGGGAGGGAAGACGAGGGGAGGGGGGGAGGGGGGTGGGAGGTTCAACTCTGGATCCGGTGTGTGTCTGTACGTCGTATACTCTTCGGTCACTGGAGCTTTTTCTTTCGAAGATCACGTCTCACAAGAAGGCGCTGGCGAAGGACAAAAGATTCTTTGACGAGTGGAGTAACTGAGTTCGGTTCGGCTTATTTGATTTTGGCTTCGGCTTCCCGACGGAGGAGGCCCCGCTAGCACCATTTCGGAAGAGGCAGAGGCGAACCTGGAAGGGAAAAGAAGAAAAATTAATAAAACAAACAATAAAAGACGGGAAACTGTGCATATGCAGAAATACTGTTATATATTTTAGGGTTTGGGGGATTTTGCAATGAAATGCGCAATTTCCTAGCAGCAACTAATAAATAAATAGGCCTTATGAAAAGAATTACGATGTAAAATCACTGATGATATAGTAATAAAGCGTTGCGTGTCCCTTCAAGTGTAAAATGCAGGGCCGCCGCAGTTACCATTTCTATGCAAAGTAACTTTCTAATTTGACAGCTCCAGAGTTCGGATTGCTGGCGACGTCTGCACTCTAACCCGCCTAACTACCTCTTAAACCCTGCGTAGTTAAAGTTATGGAGATTAATTTTTCTCGGCTTGCGCCAATTTCTCCGGGAAGAGAGAAATGAAAGAGGAAGAGAGAGAGAGAGAGAGAGAGAGAGAGAGAGAGAGAGAGAGAGAGAGAGAGAGAGAGAGAGAGAGAGCGAGAGAGAGAGAGAGAGAGAGAGAGAGAGAGAGTACCAGCCCCCCGAGAGCTCGCGTCGTGTCGGCAATACTACGAAACAACTCATAATACGAGACCGACTCTCCATCCCACTCGCCCCGTCCGTCCCAGGAGGCCGTAGGAGCGAATGTGCAAGCAACGAGGGCGCGAGGGTTACGCCCGGGACCGCAGCCCCGGCCATTACAAATAAAGCCAGCCCTGGACGCGCGACAATCGCCCTTACGGAGCTTAATAAGGCAAAACCCGGGAGGGAGCGAGAGGAGGGTTCCGCCCCTGTGACCCCGGCCTCAGCGCGTCGCCCATTTAGATAACCCAAAACCGCGAGAGGGGACATTCCGCAGATTACGGCCGGCCCGGGTTATCTACCTCGGACCACCGCCACGAGGCTCCGCTACCTTAGCTCGCGATACCTGTGCGCCCCTGCAAGCCCCCCCCCCGCCCCCTGCCCCTTGGCCCCTGCAACCCCCCCCCCCTTCTCCTCTCCGGCACTGGTGGCACAGCCAGCAGGGTCACGCGACGGTGGTCGTTAAAGGCGAAGGCGGGCGGTGGAGGTGTGTGCGCAGGGGGCGGGGGTAGAGGGCGCGGGGGAAGGGGAGAAGGGGGGGGGGGGGGGAAGGAGACGCGCTGGCATACGCCCTTCTTGCCCCGGCGCGCCACACACCTCGCCGTGGATTGAGACATCAACGTCAGACCAGGTAAATACACCCGACCCCGCTACACCGACCACCCCGCCCACCGCCCACCCCTCGAGCCCACACACAACCTGCGCGCCTATACCGTGGGGAAGGGGGGAAGGGGGGAAGGGGGAGGGGGAGACGGGTACATTCCAGCAGGAACTTATCTTAATATCATGCGGCGAGGATATGGTGCCCGGTGTGCGAGATGCTGCGGAGATACGGCCAGCTGGTCATTGTGTTTGTGTTAGTTATACGCCAGCGTGTGCGTGCGTGCGTGTGTGTGTAAGTGCGTGCGTGTGTAAGTGCGTGTGTGTGAGTGTGTGTATGTAAGTGCGTGTGTGTGTGTAAATGCGTGTGTGTGTAAATGCGTGTGTGTGTAAGTGCGTGTGTGTGTGTGCGTGTTGTGTGTGTGCGTGTGTGTGTGCGTGTGTGTAAGTACGTGTGTGTGTGTAAGTGTGTGTGTGTGTAACTGGTTCTTAATGCAGGATTCTTGCAGGCTGGCAATTATTTCGCGAAGAAGAAAAAATACTGTTTTACGGATATGATTCAACGCACGCCTCCGTCTCGTGGCCGCCCGGAACGCCTTCTCGACTCTCATGATCTCGGATATTCCAGCCTAATACCCCTTCGCCTCGCCCCGCCCCAGGAGAGTGCAGAGGGCAGCCCCGCCCAGGAGAGTGCAGAGGGCAGCCCAGCCCAGGAGAGTGCAGAGGGCAGCCCACCCCTCCCGATCGGCCGACGCCTGGGCCGCCCGCCGACGTCTCCTGCAGGAGGTCTTCCCCACCCACCCTCCCACTCCCCCATTCCCCCTCGGAACTGCGACCGGCGACACCCCCGCGCTTCGGGTCCCCCTCGGAATTACCCAATTTCGCACGGGCGTCTTAATGGCCGGGTCGCGGGGCGGTCGCGGAGGTCCGAGGGGCGGCGGCGAGATCAAAGTCCGGCCGTGATTGAATTCTTCACACAATCGCCGCGCGAGAATGGCGCTCAGAGGCGGAATTAGCGACGCTGCGGCCCCGTTCGTTGCCCCCCCCCCTCAAACCCCTCGGCCCCCACCCACCCGACGGCCGCTACGGATCCGGGGCCGAACGCGCTGACACTCTTCCTCGGACTCTCTCTCTCTCTGACACTCTTCCTCGGACTCTCTCTCTCTTCTCTTTCTCTCTCTCGGACACTCTTCTCCTCTCTCTCTCTCTCACTCTCTTTCTCTTTCTCTCGGACACTCTTCTCGGACTCACTCTCTCTCTCTCTCTCTCTCTCTCTCTCTCTCTCTCTCTCTCTCTCTCTCTCTCTCTCTCTCTCTCTCTCTCTCTCTCTCTCTCTCTCTCTTCTCTCTCTCTCTCTCCTCCTCCCTCTACCTGGACTGACACCTGCGAAAGACCGAGTTGGTCCGCAATGGGCGTGGTGACGAGGGTGGAAGGGGGCAGGTTTAAAGGACTTCGTGCAGGTACGTGTGGGTCCCATTGCCATGCGTGGGTTGCCATACCGCGGATGACGAGACGACGAGATAGAGTGAGGGGTGAGGGTGACGAGACAGAGTGAGGGGTGAGGGTGACGAGACAGAGTGAGGGTGACGAGGCAGAGTGAGGGGTGAGGGTGACCAGTTAGAGCGAGGGGTGAGGGGGACGAGGCATGGAGGGCGAGGTTAGGAGTGAGGAGTGAGGGTGACGAGACAAAGGTGAAGAGGTAAGGGTAACGAGGTGAGGGTGACGGCAAGGTGAGATGGCAAACACTCCGGAGACACTAACGAGAGCCTACAACTTTCACAATCCGGCTACAATCACCAACACCGCCTGCCTCCCTTCCCCCCTTCCCTCCCTCCCTCTCTCCCGCCTCCAAATTCATGACCACACCCCCCCTCCCCCACCACCTCCCTCATCACTAAACCCCCTCGCCACTGTCACCACACGAGTGGCTTTGTCGGTATACCCAAACCATGCACTCCATGCGACTTTTTCCAACATCATTAGCCTTGATTAATCAGACTCTCTTCATTATAATCAAGAGCCTAATGAATACCGATTCAATTGACCTCATTAACCCGGTCTGCGGTCCGCCAAGTAGGGCACCTGCTACTAGAAATTACTAGAAGGCATAACTTGTTAATTAAAACCGTCGTAACGAGACCGGTGCGCGAGAGGCAGAGAGGGTGGGGTGGAGGGGGGTAAGAGCGGCGGTCAGACCAACTCTAAAGGGGTCTGGTGGTCTCCGTAGACTGATGGGGCTTCGGGAAACGGCGATGGTAATGCGAGAGTGAGTGCCGAGGGGGACGTGCTGGGTCTCGTCGTCGTCGTCAATCGCGAGCAAAACGTCTGGGTATTCTTCTAACACAGATGCAAACATGCCCGTGCACGCAGACAGACAGACAAAACACAGACACAGACACAGACAGACAGACAAAACACACACACAGACAGACAGACAGAACGACAAACACACACACACACACAAACAACACGCAGCGAGGCAGCCTTACCTGCAGATCCATCCAAAAGGAACACAAATTGAGCATGAATAATGGAAAAGCGACGGGACGGGGCACGCACGGGGGCAGGTTGGTTGCGACACTGCAGTTCCCGAGCCCAGCAGGCCCCGCCAAGCACCGAACTGTCAATCACTCGGCCCCAAATACCGAGGCACACCCGCGCATACAAACAACACTCGGCACTCGTTCTCTATCCGAGGCAGTGAAAAAAAAGCGAGTATTTTGGCGTCTTTGCGGCCCTTCCCTTCCTTTCCCGTTTTCCTCGGTCTAAATCCTCCCTTCCTTACCTTCTCCCTAGGTCTACTTCCTCCCTTTTCCCTCTACCCCCTTCCCTTGGGTCTATCCTATCCCTCCTCCTTCTTCAGTCTATCCTCCCTCCTCCTCCTCCTCCCTTCTCTGTAGTCTATCCTCCCTCCCCTCCCCTCTCCATTCTTCCTCCCTCCCCTCCCCATCTTCCCTTCTCTTCAGTCTATCCTCCCCCCCCTCCCCCTCCTCCTCCCCCCCCTCCTTGATCTACCATCCCCTCCCCTCCTCCTCTTCCCCTCTCCTTGATCTACCAATCCCCTCCCTCTTCCCCGCCCTCCGCCTCCACCCCCCCCCCCTCCTCCAGGCGGCGCCCCGGAGTGGGAGTGCCATAGCGGCGCTAATGTAAACATCGAAAACCGAGCTGAACAGAGACAAAGGCCTCGTTATCTGCAATATTACTTCGGATTGCCAGGCGCCGAGGCTCGTCTTACATGGGAAAGATAGATAGCGAGATGGCCAGATAGCGAGATAGCCGAGAGCTCTACCCATGTACAGACGGGGGGAAAAATTGGCTGCGTGTTTCCTCGGGCGCCGTGTTAAGGAGGCTGTCCTTAATGAGTGAAGTAATTTCGGCAAATGATGATAAGCAAAGAGAGCGAGATATTTATGAGGATCTAAGGGCACGCGCAAAAAGGTGTTAAACGCAGGGTCTGGTCTGACTAGCCGACTCCTAAAGGTATATAATCAGCTTGTTAAATCAGTGACAGGTAACCAATCACAAAGCACTGTCAATGACCCACTGACCCACCCTAAAAATAAGACAGCAAATAAAAAAAGAATCGAGAGAATCGCCGTTTTCTGTTGTGACGCAGACCCTTCCCTCAGGTCCCCCAATTCACTGCGTTTATCAAATGAAACGTTTCGTGAAATGACACGGGGAAGCCTGCGTGAATCTTTAAAGCACATCTGCATCCATACTTCGTCCTTCGTCCCTATCCAATCCTATCATAGCGCATCCTATCCCTTACTATGTTATCCTACTTTACTTCAAGTGCGACTCACCTCACTTGGGCGACGATTCGTCCTCCATGTCCGATGACCCCCTGGAGGAGGAGGCCCCCGTGCCACTGCCGGAGGAAGAGGAGGAGGAGTGACTGCCGTTGAGCGAACCCGAGCCATGGCTGCTGCTGCTGCTGCTCCGTCGACTACTGCGTCTGGTGCTACTGCTGCTGCTGCGGTAGGTGGGTTCCACCGAACCTGACGGAGGACAAAAGGGGACTATCAAATCGGAGTGTAAGATATCAGCTGTTTTTAACACGACACATGAAGTACTACACTCAACCCGTTTTTCGTTCTACTTACCCGGCAGTGGCGTGTGGAGCTCCACCTTGACCTTGGCTGTGGCGGTGACTTTGGTGGT